CCTCCCTTTAAAAGCAAGCTGTGAAGGAGATAACCAGGCTACAGAAGGTCTGGGGTTGTGAGTACTGAGTTGCATTTTAAAAGAATTAGTGGCTCCGGGTCATTTTAATCAAGTTGCATGTCAGCTTGCAAATTTTCCAAATTAGCCATAGCTGGAGGAGAGCAAGATGCTGTTCTTCTTTCCTAGAGAATAAAAACAGATTGTTGTGACATGTTCTCAGTCATTATGACAGATTGGAGCCGCTGTTTGTGGTACGAGTCAGAAAACAAAGCAACTTTTTCCTCCCAAAATCGTAACACTTGATTGATTTCTGTTGAGATTTGGGCATCTCTCAGTTTGTCAGCGGTGTTGATGAAGTTCATAAAAATCTTGCACGCCAAGTGCAGACACAGAGGCGGCTTTAAAGCTAGGTTGATTTTTCACTGGGAAAGGAAGCCCCTGGATCTTGAGGACAAGGCTCGGGGATGCTTCTGTTGGATCTCACTGCTCCATGGAAGAGGAAGGAGGGTAGTGAAGAGGGGATCGCTGACACCCCCTCATCCCAGGTGCCTCTCTGGTCCCGAAGCAGAACACTCCTGACTCGTGTGTCAGTTCCAGCCGTCCTGAGGAAGGATGGCTCTGCATACCACACAGTGGGTCACTGCCCAAACAGGGGTCTGAGAATTTCCCCCTGGCTTTGAATTCAAAGGCCAAGCCTACATCACATCTAATCAGCAAAGCTGGGGCACAGACGATGGGTTTTCACAAACCAAAGAAGAAGGATTTAGAACTGTCATTCATCACTCAGGCAACCAGTAAACAACGTAGCTTAAGACTACGGTTCCATAAGCCAAGAAAATGGAATGTTTAACTAATACTTGCATAATGTAAGACAGGAAACAGGAAGACAAGGAATGAATAACTATGGGATACAGTGGCATAATCCCTTAAAGTGCCGAGAAACTCCAATGTAAACTAGCTCTTTCAGTATTGTCAATATCTCAGTTTCTTCTACCAACTAAGTCTCCCTAAACCAACTCCGAGTCCCAGTCTAACTCTCTTACCAACATACACCTCTTTGTCTGAAGAAAGCAAAGACCAAATCTCATGGAACATGCAAGGATTTTCCTTCTTAACTTTTTGTATATATTCCCAGTGAATGGGAAATCTGATATTTTAATTTGGCCAAATTGCTAACAAATCTTTTTTCAAATGTATTTTTATTGAAGTACGGTTGACTAACAATGTAATGTTAATTTCTGCTGTAAAATGACTCACTGATGCACATATACATTCTTTTTTATATTATTTTCCATTATGGTTCATCCAACAGTGAAGGATTGAATAAATATAGTTCCCTGGGCTATACAGTAGGACCTTATTGTTTATCACCAACAAATCTTTATTGAGATTGTACTGGAAGCAGCACAACCTTCTGCCAGATGCTCTGGGGGTATAAAGGAATGCATGACACAGTCATTACCCTCAATCCCAGTCTTTGGGGAAGACTGGGCTTCCACTGACCAGACAATTGTACATGATCAAGTCTTAGAGTGTGAGTGCTGTAGGCATTTGACTGCTGGTGAATCACCAAGGGCTTAAAGAGATACTAGGAGCATGAGGAGAAGACCTCATGGGTGAAAACTGAAGATGGATATGAGCAGGGTGTGGCTATAGAACATGGAGCCCGCCTGGAACAGAGTGAGTAGGTGAGGGATGGGATACCAGATGGAGAAGACGGGTTTGGATTTAGATTGTGGAAAGCTTCCTCCTATAAACAACAGTGAAGACACGAAGAGCAAATAAAACTAAGGCTTGGAGAGTATTACTCTTGCAGCAAAGTGTAGGCTACATTGAGTGGAAGAACCTAGAAATGAGGATACCAGTTCAAAGCCAAGAGCACCAGCCCAGCCGGAATCACTAGGTGAAGCAGAAAGGCTTGGAAAAGGAGGTCTGAGATGTGGACACAAGATGGGATGGAGGAAAGAGAAATATGTCCAAGAAACTCAAAAGTCTTCAGAATATATGGTCAGTAACATTGACCAGGCACTAGCCAAAGAACATTATGTCTATTTTTTCAATTAATCCTCACAAAAACCCTATGAAGTCAGTTTGACTATTATTCTCATTTTACAGATAGGAAAACTGAGGCAGTGAGGGGTTCAATAATTTGGCCTCTATCACATGGTCAGAAGGGCAAGACAGGCTTTGAACATAAACAGCCTGACTCAGCGCTTACACACTCAACCATTGCTCTTCCTGCCTTGACCTGATAACTGTGCTATGGATGAAGTCAGCTCAGCTTTGACCACACGCACCTTGTGACGTGCTGGAAGCCTAGCCATGTGGGAAGACTGTTGGAGATTTTTGAGATAGAAGTCCATAACTTGGAAAATAAGTCGAACTAGAGATACAGCTTGGAGGGTCATCCTCCCACAGGGCTTGTAGAGATGAGTTTTGAATGAGAGACAAAACCAGTCAGAAGTTTGGAGAGAGCTCAGAGTTGAGTGTCATAGAGGCCCATGGAGGAAAGAGTTTCAAGGAAGATGGGTTGTTAAGAGTGTTCATGGTTATAGAGCATGAGTGATAAGCATGGGGCAGCTTGACCTTTGGAGGAACACCTCTGACCTTCAGGGGTGCCATCTGAGTAGATTCTAGGGGAAGTAAGCATTGAGGGTCTAAAGGAGTAAAGAATCCATCTGCCAGTGCATGAGACATAAGAGACTTGGGTTCAATCCCTGGGTTGGGAAGATCCCTTGGAGAAGGGAATGGCACCCTACTCTAGTATTCTTGCCTGGAAAAATTCCATGGGCAGAGGACCCTGGCAGGTTACAGTCCAAGGGGCCACAAAAAGTCAGACACCACTGAGCAACTGAGCGTGGACACCAAGGGGTGAGAGAGCCGTGGCAACCAACGTGGGTGACTAGTTAAGTGGAGAGAAAGTGAGACTGTTCAGCCTAGAGGAGAAAACCCAAGACCCAGGCCAAAAGAAGGGCATCAGAGGCTGCCTCTGGTGAAGAGAAGGCCTGCTTCATCATCTAAACCTGGAAACATTGGGGCGGGGTTGACAAACCAGAGACATATTGAAGTGGAAGGGCAATGTCCAGGGATCAATCCAGTGCATCTCGATCTTCTTGGAAAACCAAAGGCAAGGTCATCTGCTGAGGTGGGATTGAATGAGAAGTACCTGGTGAGAAGGGAACAAGTCTCCAAAACACCTTGGACAGAACAGAATGGAAGATGCCAGAAGAAAGTTACAGCATCAGATGGTGAGGATCAGATGAAGAATCAAAGTGAGCTGAGTAGGAAATAAATACGTTTTTAAAACACAAAAGATCAGCAGTGGAAAATACTCCCAGGTTCCCACGCACTCCCCTACCCCCACCCCAACCCCACACTGGCCTCCAAGGGGGCCACCATCCAATCCTGCCTCCTCGTGGCCAATAAACTCAGGCACACATGGGCTGCCCCTCCTCCGGGCTCAAGCCCTGGACTCAAGCCTTAATGAGTCACCTGCTCCATATTCTCCACTTCAGGCCCTTGGCTTTCTGGGACCTCAGTCCACTCAGCTGCAAAATTGACTTAGGGGATCATGTCAATCGCCAGCTGCCGCGGAGCAGAGCCGAACAGGCCGATTTCTGCAGGTGAACGAACTGCCTGAAAGGAAATGAGCAATGATTTCCCAGGGAGTCTCTCCTGCAATGTCGTTATATAATGTCAGCTTCTGACAGCAAAACGATTTCAGCGGAGACTCTGGAGTACCCGGGCAAGTGCTGGAGCCTTATTAAAACGATGTCGGTGCAGGCCCCGTTTCATGGCTCACACACATCAACATCCCAGGATGGGAGAACTCAGCCGCTCCAACGAACCACCGTGATGCCCAGATCCTTGTGCGTTTTTGGCTTGTTTTGTCCCCTGCTTTCCCTCAGGAGTCTCAGATGGAAGACCATCAACCCTAGGCTCGGAGAGTCCTCCAGCCCAGAGGCGGGGCGCTCTCGGCTTTAGCTCCAAACGCCGGTTTGGGAGAGTACTCGTGAAGGTCTTCCATTTTACCACCCCTGAATTCTTTCCGGGCAGTAGACCGTGGGTTGTGCTCCCTGCGGGTTTGTTAACTTGCGTTGAGGGACTTCTTGGCAGGCCCTGGTCTAAGATTTGCCTACGTGAGCTCATGTTATCTTCACCACCATCCCATGAGGTTGGTATTGTCATCCCCGTTTGCAAAGACAGGGAAATTGAAGCTCAGGGAGCTAGCCAGTGCGGGGGAAGGATTGAACTGATGTCTTCCTGGCTCCAAAGTGCCTGCTCTTACCTCCTATCTTCTGGAATGACGATGCCATGGTGGGGGGTGAGCTGTAAACAAGCCCCCCCCCCCCCGGCTGTGTCCTCTTCTTGGGTTGGGGTGTATGAAGCCCAGTGCCCTGTGCCCTCTGAGAGCTCTGCGACCACACCCAGGTGAAAGCTACCCGAAGATGCTATGTAAAGCTTGTCAGGTCACCTAGGATCTTCTAGCGGATGAGGGAGCACCAACTTGTAGTGGGGTCTTTTAACAGGTGAGGGAGCGCCATCTTGAAGTGGGATCTTCTAGCGGGTGAGGGAGCGCCATCTTGTAGTGGGGTCTTTTAACAGGTGAGGGAGCGCCATCTTGAAGTGGGATCTTCTAGCGGATGAGGGAGCGCCATCTTGTAGTGGGATCTTTTAACAGGTGAGGGAGCGCCATCTTGAAGTGGGATCTTCTAGCGGGTGAGGGAGCGCCATCTTGAAGTGGGATCTTTTAACAGGTGAGGGAGCGCCATCCTGAAGTGGGATCTTCTAGTGGGTGAGGGAGTGCCTTCTTGTAATGGGATCTTCTAGCGGGTGAGGGAGCGTTCCCAGCGTCATAGCATCAGTTCAAGGAAGGGTCCTGGCAGTCTGAACACCGATTGGAAGAGAATTTCCAGACACACAACAGTGCAGAAAAGGAGTGGGTGTTTTAAGAACAAAGAGCAGAGATAATGAGGGCGCTGTGAGCACAGCTGGCCAGCCTCCTGACAGACCAGGGAGTGTCCACAGGACAAACAGTGGGCTGGCTCAAGGGCGAGCTGATGCTGTTTGTGGGTTAGTAGCCAATTTTTATAGCCTCAAGACAAAGAAAATTGTCTGGAAGGGTGGCATTAGGGTAGGGCCTATAGGATGAATACTGGGGTGGGCATTTTTGCCTAATATGGGGTCAGGACCTGGCCGGTGACTCTTGGGGGGTCGGAGGGGGGCTTTTTTCTGGCAGTAGTTACAAAGGGTCTCAGTCAGTTCCGGAGATGACCTTGCTTCTGGGCTCTGCTCCTGTGGCCTTGGTACAAGGCCTCGAACCTACGACCTTGGGGTGAGACTCCACAGGAAGCGGATAAGGTGGACTAGACTTGGAATCTGAGCACACGCAGGTTGTCATCCACCCCCAAGGTGTCAGCTTAAGTTCCCCAGTATCCCAGGGCAGCTGTGAGCAGCCCCAGCCAGCTGGGCCTGGGCACGATGCCTCTCTGCTCGGGACTCACGTGTGGCCTCTTGGTATAAACAGACGGCAGTCCAGAGATGCTGCTGCAGGGCTGGGCACCAGGGTCCCCTGTCTACGGCAATCAGGAGAGAGAAGAAAAATAGCATGCGGCAACACTTGGCAATATCAGCCCGTCTACTCTCCATAGCAACCAGGAGGCTATTATGGGGATTATAGCATTAATGATGAGGAAATGGGGGCTCAGAGAGGTGGGATCATTTGTCCAGTGTCCCCCGGCTGGTCAGTGACAGAGTTTAAACCCTCAGTTTTCTGGCTCCAAAGCCTAGAGCCCTGGTCCCATTCTCGTTGTTGTTCAGCCCCTCAGTCGTGTCCAACTCTTTGTGGCCCCCATGGACTGTAGCACGCCAGGCTTCCCTGTCCATCACCAACTCCTGGAGCATGCCCAAACTCCTGTCCATAGAGTTGGTGAAGCCATCCAACCGTCTCTGTCTTCCCCTTCTCCTCCTGCCCTCAGTCTTTTCCAGCATCAGGGTCTTTTCTAATGAGTCAGCTCTTCGCATCAGGTGGCCAAAGGATTGGAGCTTCAGCTTCAGCATCAGTCCTTCCAGTGAATATTCAGGACTGATTTCCTTTCAGATTGACTGATCTTCCCCATGGACTCGCCAAAAAGACTGCTCAGCTCAGAGGAACAGTGCTCACTGCTGCCTTGACCTTAACCTTGCAGGAAGTGGACTGGCCTAAGATTAGCTAATTCAGTATCTGCTAATATAATAATAATATAATAATATCAACTGCTCAACAAAAAACTGATCTTTCTTTTTTTTTTTTTCAAAGCACCTTCCAGGCTATGAGGAGAACCAAAAAGAAGTGATGGTGTGCTGCTTGAGTCTAAACAGGTGATGCCGGGATGGGGAGCACAGAGTGGCACGTGCAAACAGAAGGAAACAGAACCGGGCTGGCACTGTGTGCCACAGGGCTGGGGCGGGGGCGGGGGGGCAGGTGTTGTTTGGAGCGTCAGCAGCATGTGGAGGAAGGTGGCTGGAGCAGGGGCCTGGGGCCGGGCATTGACCTGGAGAGGCAGTAGCAAGTGGAAGGGGCAGATTGGACGCGGTGCCGTCAGGCCTTGAATGAGGCTGTGCGCCGCTTTCTTGGGGAAGGTGGCATGACCCAGGGATGCAAATGACTCTGGGAGAGAAGAGGGTTTAGGGCCCAAAGGTAAATAATGTAAAATAAAAGAGCAAGGAGAAGGTAGAGGTAAAGAATGGCAGGGACAGAGGAGAGGAAGGTGGAGGAGGGTGAGAGAAAAGGCCTGCCCTGGGAAAGGCGCAGAGGACTTGGGGTTCACAGTCACTGAGCTTATGTACTCAGTGCTTCAGCCGTGAGGATGTGGGGAGAAGCTTTTTTCTTCAGAAAAGTGAAAGTGAAGTCACTCAGTCTTGTCTGACTCTTTTTGACCCCATGGACTATAGTCTACCAGGCTCCTCCATCCATGGAATTTTCCAGGCAAGAGAACTGGAGTGGGTTGCCATTTTTCTTCAGAAGTGGGGCATTTGTAGTTCCCTCCTTGTCTCTAGGACACCTTGAAGCCTCCCTGCTCAGAGAAGATTCTTGTGTTGAATAATTTGCATGCCTGGGCACTGACCACTCAGGATCCATGCTGGACCTGACACCCCTACGGCCAACCAGGGTGTGGCACCCCACATTAGCCCAGGCTGCACATGTGCCCTGCACGCACATGCACACACATTCACACACGCAGACACACAGACACATTCATAGCACTCATGCCAGGAAGCGCTACCCCAGCTTACTCATCGCAGAAGGACTGAATACCACGCGCATTTCCTCCAGTTTAATTAAGTGGGGCCTTGTGATTGTCTGAAATTAATGTTTCAAGTGAAGGTTCTTAATCCTCCCGCTGCATCTTTTTAGACACAACTCCCCTGACCTTTTCAGATTCTTGCTACACAATTCGCCTCTTGCTCAAATAATTTGCAATTACCAGACACCAACTGGTTGCTGATAAAGGCTAAATGTAAAACGCCCACGGTACCCAACTTCAAAGTGGGGCTGAAGATCAGAGTGGTTACTAACAGTAACTGCTAGGACCAACGAGATGGAAGAAAAACCTGGAGTTTAATGATCTATGAGTGCATCACAGCTCTAAGACATGTGCCCCAGCTCCCAGCCAAAAAAACCCAATACCACCCTATGGCAACTCAAATCCATAGGGTGTATATATAATACCAGTTCTCTTAGGCTTCCCTGGTAGTTCAGATGATAAAGAATCTACGTGCAATGTGGGATGGACCCAGGCTTGATCCCTGGGTCAGGAAGATCCCCTGGAGAAGAAAGGAATGGCTACCCACTCCAGTATTCTTGCCTGGAGAAGTCCGTGGACAAAGGAGCCTGGCAGGCTACAGTCCATGGGGCCACAAAGGGTCATAACTGAGCGACTAACACAACACACACAGTTCTCTTAGAGCTACATTGGCAAACTGCTATTAGACTAGCTGGAAAGAACAGAAGCTGGGTGCCTGACCATCGTTTTCTCATTCCTCCTCCCTCCTGTCTTCCCTCCTCTCCTCCTTCCATGTTTCTTCTTCTTCTCTCCTCCCAGTGTCTCTCTCTACCTCTCCCTCTTTCTCCTTATTTTTTGCGGGTGTTTATAATTAAGTGGGCGCTGTACTAGACACTAGGAATGTAAGTGAGCAAAGCTATTCCTGCCCTTGAAGAACTTGCAGCCTCTGGGAGGAAAAGACACAGAGGAAATTCAAATGCCATATGGGGAAGTACAAAGACCTCCAGGAACACCAAAGAAAGATACCCTGATCAGACAGTAAGGTCGAGCTCTGGCATAAGAGAAAGCCCCTGAGGAAGGCCCCAGCCAAGGGGGCAGATGGGACGCGGTGCCGTCAGGCCTTGAATGAGGCTGTGCGCCGCTTTCTTGGGGAAGGTGGCATGACCCAGGGATGCAAATGACTCTGGGAGAGAAGAGGGTTTAGGGCCCAAAGGTAAATAATGTAAAATAAAAGAGCAAGGAGAAGGTAGAGGTAAAGAATGGCAGGGACAGAGGAGAGGAAGGTGGAGGAGGGTGAGAGAAAAGGCCTGCCCTGGGAAAGGCGCAGAGGACTTGGGGTTCACAGTCACTGAGCTTATGTACTCAGTGCTTCAGCCGTGAGGATGTGGGGAGAAGCTTTTTTCTTCAGAAAAGTGAAAGTGAAGTCACTCAGTCTTGTCTGACTCTTTTTGACCCCATGGACTATAGTCTACCAGGCTCCTCCATCCATGGAATTTTCCAGGCAAGAGAACTGGAGTGGGTTGCCATTTTTCTTCAGAAGTGGGGCATTTGTAGTTCCCTCCTTGTCTCTAGGACACCTTGAAGCCTCCCTGCTCAGAGAAGATTCTTGTGTTGAATAATTTGCATGCCTGGGCACTGACCACTCAGGATCCATGCTGGACCTGACACCCCTACGGCCAACCAGGGTGTGGCACCCCACATTAGCCCAGGCTGCACATGTGCCCTGCACGCACATGCACACACATTCACACACGCAGACACACAGACACATTCATAGCACTCATGCCAGGAAGCGCTACCCCAGCTTACTCATCGCAGAAGGACTGAATACCACGCGCATTTCCTCCAGTTTAATTAAGTGGGGCCTTGTGATTGTCTGAAATTAATGTTTCAAGTGAAGGTTCTTAATCCTCCCGCTGCATCTTTTTAGACACAACTCCCCTGACCTTTTCAGATTCTTGCTACACAATTCGCCTCTTGCTCAAATAATTTGCAATTACCAGACACCAACTGGTTGCTGATAAAGGCTAAATGTAAAACGCCCACGGTACCCAACTTCAAAGTGGGGCTGAAGATCAGAGTGGTTACTAACAGTAACTGCTAGGACCAACGAGATGGAAGAAAAACCTGGAGTTTAATGATCTATGAGTGCATCACAGCTCTAAGACATGTGCCCCAGCTCCCAGCCAAAAAAACCCAATACCACCCTATGGCAACTCAAATCCATAGGGTGTATATATAATACCAGTTCTCTTAGGCTTCCCTGGTAGTTCAGATGATAAAGAATCTACGTGCAATGTGGGATGGACCCAGGCTTGATCCCTGGGTCAGGAAGATCCCCTGGAGAAGAAAGGAATGGCTACCCACTCCAGTATTCTTGCCTGGAGAAGTCCGTGGACAAAGGAGCCTGGCAGGCTACAGTCCATGGGGCCACAAAGGGTCATAACTGAGCGACTAACACAACACACACAGTTCTCTTAGAGCTACATTGGCAAACTGCTATTAGACTAGCTGGAAAGAACAGAAGCTGGGTGCCTGACCATCGTTTTCTCATTCCTCCTCCCTCCTGTCTTCCCTCCTCTCCTCCTTCCATGTTTCTTCTTCTTCTCTCCTCCCAGTGTCTCTCTCTACCTCTCCCTCTTTCTCCTTATTTTTTGCGGGTGTTTATAATTAAGTGGGCGCTGTACTAGACACTAGGAATGTAAGTGAGCAAAGCTATTCCTGCCCTTGAAGAACTTGCAGCCTCTGGGAGGAAAAGACACAGAGGAAATTCAAATGCCATATGGGGAAGTACAAAGACCTCCAGGAACACCAAAGAAAGATACCCTGATCAGACAGTAAGGTCGAGCTCTGGCATAAGAGAAAGCCCCTGAGGAAGGCCCCAGCCTGGGGAGGCTCTGGAAGGACAAGCCTGCGCTGAGTGTTCTGAGTACAGGACTCCAGGCTCTGAAAGATCTCAGAGGCAGAGGCAGAAGGCAGAGGTATCACCAGGAAGATGCTCAGTGTCCTCAACCCAACCTCCAAGGCGAGACAAAGCCCAGTCAGAAGCAGCAGTGGGGACTTCCTTGATGGTCCAGTGACTAGAAGCTCCACACCCCCAATGCACGGGGCCCAGGTTCGACCCCTGGTCAGCGACCTAGATCCCACATGCCTCAACTAAAGATCCCACATGCCACAACTAACACCTGGCCTAGTCAAATAAGTCAATATTTTTTTTTTTTAAGTTGTCAGTCCCCGACCACTGCACCAACCCTACCAAATAGCTCTACCAGAAAGCTCCAGAGTATCTGAAGCAGCAACCTCCTGCATCTGGAACATGACAGCAGGCTGAAAACATGGTGGAAGCTCCTGTTCCATCTGAAGTTCCACCACTGGAATGTCATTTTTTGGAAGGGAGAAATCTTCCTTTAATAAGAAGCCTTATTAAAAGGCAAAGTTGCCTGGAAAGCCTTGGCCTCAAGTTAAGAGAAGATGCCCCTTGAAGAGGTGAGCTGCTGAGGACAGTGAGACCCCAGGGAGGTCAGAGACACCTGGGGGGTCCTTGGAGGAAAACAGGAAGCTGGGCAGAGTGGGTGGGGCTAGACGTAGGTTGGGTTGGCCCAAAAGTTCATTCAAGCTTTCTCTTCAATCTTTATGGAAAAACCCAAAAGAACTTTTCAGCCAATTCAATTCCTTTGGAAGCCAACATGCAAATGCATTTTTCTATAATTTCAAGAGGTGTTGCGTGGGTGACAATTTGTAGTTCTCCCCTTTATCTCCACCTGAAGCAAATTGTAGACACTTAAGGCTCACTGCTTCGGAGCACTTCATCCTGCAGACTTTATGCAGCACCCACCATGTGCCAGGCTTTGTGCCAGGGGCTGGGGGCAGGAGCAGCAGTGTCTGGAGGGCTTCTTCCTGCTCTCCCATCACTTGGTGGGGTTGAAGGGGCCTCACGGGCACCTGGATCAAAGGTGCCATGGCCATGGGTGGTGCCCTGCAGACAGGCTCCCTCCAGGTGACCCCTCTGAGACCACGCTGAGAGCACCCAGCAGAGAGGGCTGGCTGACCACGGGACGCATCTGCACTCAGCACTTTGTCAGAAGCCTCACCTGAAGCCCAGTGCCTGCAGGTTAGAAAAATAAACCAACAGGTGAAATGAACATTATGGCAGCAACCTGCCAAGCCTCTTAATCTGTCACTTAAATGTAGAGCTTTCAGCTATAATTGAACATCCTACTGAGACTATTATGAAGAGGAGGAGGAGGAGGAGGTGTCGAAGTTGTGGCTCAGGAGGGCGGAGGAAAATAAATTTCCCTTCAAAACTAGTCAATAGCAATGCCTTTGTGTTAAAAGAATGGAGTGCTGGACTCGTGGCTATAGAGGAAAACAATACATCCACAGCACTCAGGAGGCAGTGAGTCACTACCCAGGCTGCCAGCGGAGAGCCGAGAGCCCCCGGGACTGGAAAATTACCACTGCTTCTTGAAGAACGTAGAAAGAAGCAGCTTGGGAGATGGCTATAAGCCTATTGTTGTTTAGTCACTCAGTCATGTCCGTCTCTTTTGCGACCCCATGGACTGTAGCCCCCCAAGCTCCTCTGTCCGTGGGATTCTCCAGGCAAGAATACTGGAGTGGGTTGCCATTTCCTTCTCCAGGGGATCTTCTCGACCCAGGGATCAAACCCACGCCTCCTGCATTGAAGGCGAATTCTTCACCACTGAGCCACCAGGGAAACATGCTATTAAAAAGGAAAAGGGAAGGATGGAGGGAGGGAGGAACTAAAGAAGGAAGGAAGGATGCGCCACATCATATGTCTTCAGAGAACCGCAAATCAGAACAACAATGAGATACCACGAATGGCCAAAATTCAGATCACTGCAAACACCAAAAGCTGTCAAGGATGTGGAGCAACAGGAACTCTCACCTGTTGGCTGGTGGGAATGCAAAATGGTCCTGCCATCTTGGAAGACCTCTTGGTTGTTTCTTATAAAACTAAACATACTCTTAGCGTACAGTCCAGCAATTGGGGTTCCTGGTGTTTATGCAAAGGAGTTGAACAATTATACCTGTACGAAATCCTCACATAGATGTTTATAGGTGCCTTATTCATAATTGCCAAAACTTGGAAGCAACCAAGATGCCCTTCAGCAGGTAAACAGATAATGGGGTCCATCTAGACAATGGAATTTTAGTCAGTGCTGAAAGAAATGAGCTCTCAAGTCATGAAACAGATGAAGAAATCTTAAATGCATATTGATACGGGAAAGAAATGCTGAAAAGTCTTCATACCATATGATTCCAACTACATGACATTCTGGAAAAGGCAAAACTATAGAGACAGTAAAAAGATTAGGGACTGGAGGGGAAGGGAACAATGAATAAGTGGAGCACAGGAAATTTGTAGAATGTTTATTCGGCTGAGTCAGATCTTAGTTGTGGCACACATAATCTTAGTTGCACCATGTGGAATTGTTCGTGGCAGCTCACCAGTCTCTAGTTGAGACATGGGCTCCAGAGCATGCAGGCTTAGTAGTTGCCATGCACAGGCATAGATGCTTGGTTGCATGTGTGATCTTAGTCCCCTCCATTGCAAGGTGCATTCTTAATGATTTAGGCACCAAGGAAGTCTCCACAGAGAATTTTTTTAAGGCAGTGAAAGTACTCTGACTGACAGCATAATTATGTCAGTATACATCTGTCCAAACCTATAGAGTGAACAACACCAAGAGTGAACCCTAAGGTAAACTAATGACATTGGATGATTATGATGTGTCGATGTTGGTGTATCAGTTGGAACAAATGTTCCACCCTAATGGGAGAGGTTGATAATGGGGGAGGCTATGCAAGTGTAGGGGGCAATCTCTATACCCTCCTCTTGATTTAGCTGTGAAGCTAAAATTTCTCTTTTTTAAAAAGCCTCAAAAGAGAGAAATGGAAGGGAAGGAAGAGAAAAGAAAAACTCTCAATAGAAGGTAACATCAAAAACTCCATTTACTAGCTCTGAGAAGATCACAGTGTGTGGGGGTGGTTTTGTGAAGATCGAAGACCATCAGGTTAATTGCACCCTGCCTCCTGGAAATTCTCAGGTGCCTTGCCTTCTTGAATAAGAGGGACTCTTCAAAGCATCCCATCCTTCTGGAAAGGCAGTGTGACATAAAGACAGGAGGCAGTTATGGTGCCTGTATTACTATTATTAGTGGACTGAATTGCCTTGGAGAGCTTGTTCTGCTGACGAAGAGAGAAATTAGACTGAGGAGTGAATTGTTTCCCAACATTTCTTCCTGAGAGAACTCAGACTCCGGGGGTCTGAAGAGACATAGTAGGAGGGCCTGGCAGATACCTCAGCAGGCATATGTGTTGTTTCCTCATCTTCACAGAGAACCAGCCCGCGCACTGGATGTCTGACCTCGTGAGACATTGGGTGGGACTCAGTTTGCTGTAACTCTCCTCAGAAAGGCTCCAAGAGCGGTGTACTCTTCTTCTCAAAGCTTCCCCTGGAAGCACCAAGCAAGGCCATTCTCCTGCCCATGCACAGTCGCTGCCTTTCAAGTGACCAGATCAGATGCTGGAAAAGTCAAGAATCGTGGTCTGACTCAAGGCTAGAGGAGAGCTGGCTTCCTGCAACCCTCCTGTGAAGAAATGTGAGCCACTCAGAACACTGCCTTCAGTCCTCAAGAGAGAAATATAGCTGTCTGTGGCTTGTACACAATTCAAATCTTAATTCTCACCTGCTATAACACCTCATTGATCCCCATTGTCAGGGGATGAGGCGTTCTGCAGGAGTGAATGTGCCTTGTAGTTTAGGCTTACCTGTTAAAGCACTTAATCATAAAAAAAAAAAAATAAGAAGATTGGCTGAACTGCATACTTCACTGCTAGAATAAACAGTACCTTTCGTACTTGAAATTTTATGGTTCAGGCCATCATCTTGATTGAGAACTCCATTGTGTGGTTGTAATTCATACATGGTATGTAATAAAAGGTTAAAAGCAATGGTGATTTCTCCCTGACTGGCTGATGCTTTCATGTAAATAACTTGATTTCTAAGGCATTACGTGTTATTAAATTCTTTTCTCTATGTCTGCTTCAGGTTTATCAGGGTTTGTGAAGCAAATGTTAAAAAGACATGGCACAGGTAAGAAGCTCCATTACAGAGATTCTGAACTGTGCTAGTCATTAGTTTCCAAGGACACCTGAAAAAAATGTTCTTTTATATGATAATGATGGTGGCCATAGTAAGGAGGGATAGTAAGTATGTGTATCAGCTAAGATTCTTTGGTGTAAGCAACAGAAACCAACTCTGAGTAACTTAAACCAGAAAAGGGGTATATTGAAAGAATTCCTAGTAGGTCTCAGTGCTGGCCCAGGAAGGACTGAATCAGGGCTGGTCCAGGTAACTCTAGGGCTTAGACATTCTCAGACTCCTCCCTGGACACTTCCAGGGCCTGTCTGTCTCCACCCTGGAGACAGCTGCTGGAAGCAAATGACCTAATTGATCCATTTGGGGTCATGGGTCTATCCCTGTGGCCATGCTGGTGAATTCTGTGAATCTTGTGACTGGCAGCCCCTACAAACCCCAGAGAATGAATCAGGGGAATTTCCACCAAAGAAAAAAATGCTGGGTGGACAAAAATAGGGGTCCACTAGAGGCAACCTCAGCAGCCTAATATATACATAGTCACATTCCCTAGTGTCCAGTTGCTTGTGGTTTCATAAGAGTATGGCTTCCTGTCCCAAAAGTTTGCCTATGCCTACTCTACCCTAGAGGCTGCAGGAGGCAGAATGTACCCTTCCATGTCCTAATCCCCAGGGTTTGTGAATGGGAGTATTTGAAGATGTGATTAACAGACTATAAAATGCTGAGATTTGCCTGGATTATCCAAGTGGGCCTATCGTCATCACATGAATCAGACAGGCAGAAGAGGAAGTTGGAGAAATTCTTAACTGTGGTTGGGGTTTGGTCCCCTGTAGTTGCAATAGGGATCACACAGAAAATACAAAAAGGAATTCAAGCAGCCTCTAGCAAGGATCTCTAGTAAAGATAGGCCTCTGGCTGACAGCCAACACAAGGATCTCAATCCTACAACCTCAAGGAACTTAATTTAGCCAACAATCTGAATGGTCCTAGAAGAGGGTTCATACCCAGAACTTCCAAAAAGGAGCTTGCTAACCCCATGTTTCATCATTTTCAAGCTCTAAGCAGAGGACTTAGTTGAACCACACTGTGCCCAAATTTCTGACCTACAGAACTATGTAACAATAAATTTGTGTTGTTTTAAACCATTAAATTTGTGGTTATTTATTCTGGCAGCAATAGAAAATCAATACAGAGCTCTTGCAGATGTTTCACCTACTGCAGCATTCATACTTGCATCTTATGATTTTCTTGCTGACAAGCTGGCAGGTTAAGCCCTCTGGGTTTATCAATCTAGCCATAGTTCTTTTGCACCTTCGGCAGTTACATCAGTTGCCAGTTTTGTTTAGTCATTAAGTCATGTCCAACTCTTTCTGACCCCATGAACTGTAGCCCTCCAGGTTCCTCTTGTCTATGGAGTTCTCCAGGCAGGAATATTGGAGTGGGTTCCCATTTCCTTCTCCAGGGGATCTTCCCATCCCAGGGACTGAACCTGCGTCTCCTGCACTAGCAAGCGGATTCTTTACAACTGAACCACCAGGGAAGCTGTATCTTCAGCAATAACAATTTTTTACAAAGCAATCAAAAAAGTATTTACTAAGAGCCTATCATGTGTCAAGTACTTTATAGCCTTTACCACATTCAATCATCGCAAAAAAAAAAAAAAATCTTTTTAACAGATTAAAAAGCTCTGCATAGCACTGCATCCTGGAACATGGGAGGAGTGCTGATGCATACTTCATCAGACTTTTCTAAGGATTGAATAAGATATTGATACAAATTTACACAAACAGAAGAGATAGAGCTGAGATTAGAGCCCTATTCTGTCTGACCCAAACCATTGCTCTTTCTACCACACTCAACAGCACCACTGTGAAAGCACCCAAGGCAATCAGTTAAGTTCAGTCCCTCAGTCGTGTCCAGCTCTTTGCAACTCCATGGACTGCAGCATGCCAGGCTGTCCTGCCCGTCACTAACTCCTGGAGCTTACTCAAACTCATGTTCATCGAGTCGGTGATGCCACCCAACTATCTCATCCTCTGTCATCCCCTTCTCCTCCTGCC